GCCTCTAGTTCAATGGCAGCGTCAGAAGGACTCCCCTCTATGTGCCTGTCTTGTCAGGCGCAGCGCGTCACTGACAGCTCTCCTTCTCTTGGGGAAGGTGTTGAACTTGGGTGACGTGGGAGGAATCGGGCTGTCGGAGGACATCTGTGTCCGAACCACTCCACCTGATGGGCAAGTGGCCGGGAGTTGCCTCCGATGGGGGTTTCTGGGGCAGGAGAGGGTTCAGGGGAAGGGCCGGCTGGCCGGCCAGGGCTGCAGGGCACAGAGATTGCATGACAGCAGCACCCAGGCCACAGCACAAGTGGGCGCCAGGCTCGATGAAGGAGCAACCAGAGTAGGGGGGCAAGACTGTGCCTGGGGCTCCGGGAGGTATCCGAGGACACTAGCTGAGGGAGTGAGGAGACAGGGGCAGGCAGCAGACTGCAGCCTCGCTAATCAGGAGCGATAGGTAACCGGCTTCCTTACATTGCAGTGAAAATGTGTCAGGGCAAATGCTCTGTGGGAGGGATCAAATCCCTGCATACCCTAACCCTGAATCCTGGGGGTCCCTGGGCTTGCATATCTGATCGTTCTGGTTTCCAGAAAGTTCTGGAAAGTGATAGGTTATCCCAAGGGAAGCTGGGGATGGATGTCTGACCTTGCTCTACTCGACCTTCCCTCACCAAATACATAGCAAACCTCATGGCAGGTCTCAGGGACTGTCACGGTTGAAGGAAAATGCTGGAGAAGTGGTAGGAAACTTGGTCCTTTGAGGTTGGCTCGAGGCTTTACAATCTGGCGGCTGAAGATGTGTGGGTCCCACATCCCGCTCCCCGCTTTTGCCGCTCGGCCCGCGCTATCACGCATTGAACGCTCGTCCATGCTGAACTTCCGGTGCAGTCCTCTGAGCATCAGAGGGGACGGGTCAGTCATGAGATGGTCTTGGTTCCCAGTGTCCTTTCATTAGATGACCCTCTGCACATGGTACTGTGTAACACAAAGAAGCTATTGAAATGGAGGAGTATGTTCATGTTCTCATATCAGAGCCAAATGAGTAAAACATTAAAGAATAGTAGTTGAAATAGTTTCCAAATCAGAAAACGTCCATTTCTCTGTAGTTTTCTCATTCTGGTTCCTATTTATATTTCCCCTGGAGGCTGAGTTGTGGTTGTCATAGCAATTCTTTTTTATCTATGAAACGGATATTTTTATTATTTGTTCCTCATAGCAAATCAAGTCTATTCAAATCTAAATATTTCCTTTAAAGTAATATCTGACCAGAATAGGTCCTTTAAGGTCCACCTCATCACCCTAATGCAGTGGTTCTCAGCCTTCCTAATGCCGGGACCCTTTAATACAGTTCCTCATGTTGTGGTGACCCCCGATTTCATTGTTACAAATTGAACATCATTAAAGCATAGTGATTAATCACAAAAACAATATGTAATTATATATGTGTTTTCCGACGGTCTTAGGCGACCCCTGTGAAAGGGTCATTCTACCCCCAAAGGGTTGCGGCCCACAGGCTGAGAACCGCTGCCCTAATGTCTTGGACCTCGGAATTACAGGGTTGCTTAGGGCTCTACCTTGATGGGCCATAGCGAGCAGGTGGTCTGAAGAGCAGGTCTGTGAGTCCTGTACCCACTGCGTTCTCTTTGCGTTTAGCATGCTCGGTGGCTTGGCGGCCACTGGGTATTCCCGTCGGGGCTTGTACAAAAGCGTCCTGGCTTCCACACCCAACGTCTTTGTTGGAGTTTGCTCCCTTTTCTCTCATCTTTATTCCCTTCCTTCGGCGTTTAGATGGTTTCCAAGCAGTTTCCATGTGCTGTTCTGAGCCCACTACTCTCCTGAAAAGGTTTGTTTGAAGCTGACCGTCACCCAGTTCTTGTCAACTCCACTAACTTCCGAGAATTTACCATTTGAGTCTTCTCTGTGGCTTTGATATTGTTGATCAGTCAATCCTCCTTGAGGCTGTCCCTGTTTTTTTTTGTTGTTTGTTTTCTTTCACTTTGTTGTCCCTCACCCACTGGCTTTGTCATGCACTCAGGGGCCTGCATTGCTCTGGCCTCTGAGGGGACCTTTCCCCACATCTCCTGAGCTCTTCTGTAACTCCTCCCAAAAGCAGCCCCTCGCTCCGGGTCCTGCCTGGAGCAGCTCCAGGTTGCACATTCACCTCCTTGGTGGGCTGTTTACTGTTGGGAAGCCACCTGTTCCTGGAGAGGGCTCACCCTCAACGCCGCATCACTGTCCTGACCACTGACCGCCACTGTGGCTCTGTCTGCAGGGACTGAGTCAGTGCAGCACCCGCCCACTTCCAGGACCTGCGATCTGACACGGGGTCCAGCCCGACTAGCCTCAATCCTCAACTGCCAGGGGCTTGGCCCTTCCATCAGCTGCCGAGACGGAAAACCTGACTCTTACTTCCTTTTCGTTCCCTACTTCCAGTTTCGCAGGAATGCCTCACTTTCTCTCGAGCGAGGGAAGATACGCCTCGCCTCGCTGAGGAGCGATCCCTTGGTGTGTGTGTGTGTGTGTGTGTGTGTGTGGTGTGGTGTGTGTGTGTGTGTGGTGTGTGTGTGTGTCTCTTATTTGTTGGGAATCAGAGTTTTTAAGAATCAGAGGGATCTCAAAGATCATATAGTCTGATTCTCTCATTTTACATTCTCATTTTATGAAGGTGAACAGTGATGTGTGATATTATTTCATAGTTGTTACTGCAGCAATGTGACTCAAGTTACATTCTCTTTGCATGATGCTCGCACAAGGTAACAGAATAAAATGTCCTCTTGTCATCTACATTGCTCCGGTAATCTGTTGCTGTGTAATATTTCTTACCCTTTAAAAACACTTAATTCACACCCAGTCTTGACAAAATATCACAAGGAACCTGTTGAAGAAGTTAAACTTATTGCCATGGCTGGGTGGGGCATCATCCCATTCACCAACAGGTTGTGGGTTTGATTTTTGGTCAGGGCACTTACGGGAGGCAACCAATCGATATTTCTCTCTCATCTCGATGTTTTGCTCTCTCTAGAAATCAGCGAAAGCATATCCTCGGATGAGGATTAAAAAAAAATTAAAACTTGCCGGTTTCTTAAAAGATTGAGCATTTTCTTTCAGTGGAAAGAAAAAAAAGGCATTTGACAAATTAGTTCCAGCTGGGCCTTCCCGTTTGTTACAATCAACCCCAAACCTCAACAGGAGGAGGCAAGGCCTTACTTAGTGAACGCACCTTCTGTGTGAGCCTTACCTGTACCCGGTGCGGGGCCAGGCTGGAGTCGGGGAGGGGGTCTGCCCCGGGTGCCCCCGGAGGGTGCTCAGTGGATTTTAAGCTTGGCCTTCCGTTAGGCAAGACAGCCAGAGCTCCTCCAGTGCACTCGCTGGGACATCTGAGCTCCCCGTTCTGCAGAACAGGACTTGCCGACACCCAGGAAGACGCTCGGCGCCCACTAGGCCGCCTGGCAGCACCGCCTCAGCGCCGAGAAGGTGGCCAGTGCGTGCGGTCAGTGCTTGCTGACTAGTGAGCGCGGCCGCACCGAGCACCGCGGCTGTGTCCCCGCGGTCAGGAGGGAGAGTAAGGAAGGTCAGGAATGAAGCTGTGTTTCATTTTAGAGAACTGGCAGTTTATAACCCATATTTAGTGGCATTACTTTATCCCCTCCCCCGGCCTTGGCCTACATAGTTCAGTAGGAACACATGCTGTTTTAAGGGATGATCTCGGATTTAATAAAATGAAGCAAGCACGTGACCTGACCACTTTGACCCGTTCGCGGTGTGCCTGCTGGAGCCCCCCCGTGTGCCTCCTCAGTGAGGTGAAGCGCAGGCATTCCGGACGGTGTGGGACGTCTAAGGGGAGATCAGTGGTCACACCCTGGGCTGGGGAACCAAATGGGAGCGTGTGCTTTGAGCCTGAGCCTTCACAGCCCAGGGGAGGCGCTCAGACCCCGGCACAAGCGCACCCTGTGCAGCAGCGGGTGTAGATGGAGAGCAGCATCTTTGTCTTGTTATTTTCCCAGGTCTTTGCTCTTAAAAGAAGGGCCTAAAGGCAAGTGAAGGGGAAGTGGGTGCCCAGAGCAGCACAGAAACAAGCTGGCCTCTAGGTGGTGCCTGGAAGCAGTGAGGGCAGGCTGGCACCTCCAGGGTGAGGTGGGCATTGGCGAGGCCTCCCACAGACTGCCACACCTGCCCTGGTCTCTGCAGGTGGCTCACTGGGCCAGTTCTAACGCCTTTCTTTTCACATGCTCCTCTGCCTTGAAAAACTTTCAAGCTGGTAAAAAAAGTTCCATTGGAAGGAGGTCACCTCTGTAAGTCGAGTGGGGAGGGTCCAGCCTGAGGGCCGTGAAGCCATTTGGTCTGGCCCTGCTGAGGCATTAGGGGTGAGCTAATTAAGGGTTTGCCCAGATACAGCAGGCTGGTTTTTGTACACAGCAGTTGATAGTTTTGTATGGCCCTCAAATCATGTTATAAATATCCAAATGGCCCTTGGCGGGCAAAGGTCCCACCCTTGGTGTAAGGAATATGCCAGATTGGAAGAGAGTCCTAGGAATAAGCTGTGAATTGGGATCAGATTGAAACTCTGAGCACATTTGCGGGAACTTTGTTTTATATTCCATTTATGTCTGTAAATCGTTCTTATTAAAGTCAGCTAACCAGAGGAGGGACAGAGACGTCACCCAAGAGCTTCAGCCGGTCACCGTCTTTGCCACCAAGCCCCCCCCCCCCACCTGCCTCCCCGTTCCCACTTGCCCAGCCTGTCCCGTCCAGGGGGCGGCTGGAGCTTCCTGAGGGACCAGGTGTTTATTTTTGGTCTTTGTTTTTAAAGGTATTACAGCTGCTACTTTTGTTATCAAATACTAGCCTGTAATTCCAGTCAAAACATTTGCCATCGATAAAAACAAAGACCCCCTCTCCCGGTGTAATTATAATGCGAGTCCACACACGTAGCCTGTTCGTCTCCGCATACTCACTCAAAAGGAGACCTTCAGCACCAAACCGTAAGAATCTATAGATCCGAGTCAATGTTAACGTATACTTTTTTTTATTAAATATGTAAAAAGATAACCGCAAGTCCAAGTTATTCACATATTCAGCGACAAAAGGCTATTCTACCATGCGACAACGGTGGGCAATGTAAAACGAATGTGATACGTCTGATAAGACCTCTTCCTCTATTATGTCCTTACTTAGCTCTATTTATAATGAACAGTACATCTGTTTACATTCCTTTCAGTTTACATTTCATATATAACCAAAGCTTTCCGGTGTACTATGTGGTAAAGTGATCTGAATGCATATGAACCTTGGCGGAAGAATGGCCATACTCACCAGGGAAGGGGTCCTCGGCTCCCTTCTGGGGTTGACTTCTCTCGGGTCAACAGCGTGTTTGTCTTTTCTGCTTTTCTGCTTAGCAGGCAGGCTCTTGGCCCCCAGCTTCGGTCACTTCCTGTCTGACACGAGTCGTGGAAGTGCTATGACCAGCCACGGCGGGGGTGAGGGAGGAGCAGGGCGCACACCAAGGGTGACCGCTCAGCCAGCCCGGCGATGGGGAGGGGATGAACGGGTACGGCCATCGGGAGGAAGGAGCAGGCCTGGCCCACAAGAGGTGGCCTGCACAGAACTGGGGTGCAGCCACGGGACTGGGAACCAGCTGTTCAAGTCCCCAGGTCTCCGTGAGGGGACAGGAGGGACATAGCTCTTCCCTACACGGGTGAGGAGTGTGCTCCCACTCTGGGGAGGGGAGTGGAGTATGGTGACTGGGAAAGTTATCTTTGCAAACTGCCTGGCCAGTGTGTTTACAGCGGAGCAGGCTGGGGCTGAGGGGGAGATGGCGCGGTGCAGGTCGCACAGCCATGGTGGGCACCGGCTGCGTCTGCAGGGCTGGCAGGAAGCTCCATAGGAACCCTGACGTGGTCTGTATGGAATTACTCACAGTGCCTCCCTATGAAAGCTATTTTAAAACAAGGAACCTGTGTACAACAGGCTGGGGGGGGGGGCGGCGTTAGGCATGAGCTGCTATAGCACCACCACCACCTGTAACAGGTGCGGAGGGCGTCACTGCCGAGGGCCAGGCTGCAGCCCGAGCGGAGCTGCCGCAGCGCAGAGCAAGCAGAGAGGAGGAGGGAGTCCATCGCCCCGGAGTCTGTCCAGTCCTGCACAGTGTGCTCAGCTCCTCACCACACGGCCGCCTTCCCGCAGCTCCCTCCGTGCCCGCTGCTGCGGGGGTGACTGAGAGGCTGCTTTCGGCGGGAAGCGTCAGAGCGGCAGCGCAGCATCTCATCAATAAGGAAATGTCAGCGCTTTATGACACAGAGCTGAGAAATTTATTGTAAGCTTTTCCGTGAAGAGGCAAGTGGGTGGGCACACTGTGTGCTGTTGGGTTGCACCTACCAAGTCAAATACCAAGTGAAGGTGAATCTAAAGTTAGGAACCGAGTGCTATGAAGGATCCGGGAAGGGAAACCATCTCTCAAAGGAAAAAAAAAGGAGGCAAAGATTTGGAAAGATACTAAGAAAATGTGCAAATCTTAGTTAAAAAAAAAAAAAAGGAATGCTTCTAATTCATCAATGTTTCCTCGGTTTTGAACCGCCCGGTCTAGCAAAGGGCTAATGGCATGGAGGCCGCAGTATGAAGGGGAATTCCTATTCCAGAAGGTTCCTGTCAACCTCAGCCATGGCGCTCCTGGAACCACCCCATTCCCCAAGGTCCTCCCTCCAGCAGGTGCGTGGCATCCCACCCTCGGGGCTGCCCCCCACCCTGGAGCCCGGGGACCTTGGAGCCCTCGGGGCGCAGAGCTGACAACGGCTGCAGGAGGGCAGCTGCCCACCAAAGGGGACCCTGAGAAAGAAAACGCATGAGAACCGGGGTGGGGTGGGACGGGGCAGGCGGTTCGCGGGCCAAGGTGAGACTGTTTCTAGAGACGTTCGCTCAAGGAAAAACCACCAGGACAAGTGTGGCTGCCTGACGCGCGGGGGCTGCTGGGCGAGGGCCCGGCCCGGCTCGGTTCCGTCCTTCCCTTCCCTTTGGGGTCGTGAGCAGAGGGAGCCGCGGGCTCCGTGTTGTCCCTAGGAAACAAGTCACTGTCGTTATGGCTTTCATATCAAGTATCTCTTTCCCTTTGTCCCATTTATTATCTTACAGATTCATGTCAGAGGTTAGACTCGCAAACATCAAAGCACCACTGTGTGTGACATCTAGTGACACGGGTGAGAAATGCCAATATAAATACCAATATCAAGTTACCATTGCTTCACACCAGGGGGAGGGGTGGTGGTGGGGGAGAGTTCTGGAAGAAATGAGGAGACAGAACCAATCCCGCAGCCGTGGCGAAGCGGAGGGCGTGCGCCAGGCGCTTCTGGCGGCCCAGCGGCTGCTCTGGGTCTCGGCAGAGGAGGGGACGGAGCGCAGCTGCCGCCCGGCGATGTGGCCGCAGTTCCGTGGCGCTGAGGCCACCACGTTCCAATTCTCCAGAAGCAGAGTCCCCACGCGACACGGAGTGTCTGCAGCGGCAGGCGTCAGTACTCCTCCTGCTGCGGGGGCTGCTCGTGCGCCTGCTCCTCCGCTTCGGGCTCTTCGGGGGGGCCCCCCCCGGGGGGGGGGGGGGGGCAGGAGGCGTTAGCTGACACGGGCCCAGGCCAGCAGGTGCCTCCCTCCCTCGGGAGCCTGCCGCCCGCCCCAGCAGAGAGCAGGTCGCCCCGCCCGGCCCTCCCTGTGCTTTGGAAGGAAGCCCGCCCGGAGCCTGCTGGTGTCTCCCTGCTTCATAAGGTGAACAAACAGCGGCACGAGCATCAGGAGACCCGCCCAAGAGAGACACTGACAGCGGAACCAGGCCTGCCCCAGCCGCCCGGCCCTGGCCTCTCCCCCAGGCCTGTCGCTTGCAGGGGAGCCCCAGCTCTCACAGGCTCCAATCCAGAGAGGCCAGGGGTTCGAGTGAGCAGGTGAGGAGAGGACCTGCTACATCCACCTTCAGCCCTGAGGGCACCTTAAAGTGTCACTTCTGCTTGGTGTTCACAGCCTGCACAGCATGCTGGCATGTGTGCGTGTGTGTGTGTGTGTGTGTGTGTGTGTGGTGAATCCAGATGGCAGCACACTGGCTTGTGTGTGTGTGTGCATGCGCGCACGTGTGTGTGTGTGTGTGTGTGTGTGTGTGTGTGACTCCAGATGGCAGCAGCGAGCTGGCGTGTGTGTGTGTGTGTGTGTGTGAGCGCATGTCTCAAGCCCCAGATTCCAGAGGATACCTATACGCTAGATAGAGCACTCGCGGATTTCGTGTGAGCTCGTATCCATGAGTAAATCACAACATCAACCCCAAGTTCACTCCTGTGAAGAGTCTGCGTCTCACATGACAACATCTATACGAAGGTGTGAGACCCATGAGAGACACATACCAAGAACACTATCACCCCGGGAGGAGCTGCTGGTGTTAGAATCACTGCTACCGCTCATACTAGAGCGAACCTGCGAGGAACTGCATTTTCTGGTGTAACGAACGCCTAATGACTTGAAT